ACGGATGTAACTACTTGAGAGGTTAGTGTCAAGTTATCTCTGAAGCTCAGGGTGGTTCTTGTGGAATGTTGTGGTCAAGTTCCAAAATGTTATGAAGCTTTTTCTACGAGGAAGACTTATTTTAACATTCTCCCTTTTCAGAACGTGGTTGTCTTTGGTCGGCCTTATACCCATGGGCCAGGTATTTTTGCCCTTGTGCCTGTGTGGTTATGATGCTGTCTATCGCTTTAAATGGTCCTCATACAGTCCCGTAGCCGGGGGGGGGGGGGTTCGGGGGGTTCGTAAGAACCGCCCCTTTTGCTGGGAAAAGGTCCACTCTGGGTAAAATTTGATATATGTACATGAAGTTTTTATGGAAAAAGGTCCACCCTTTTGACATCGCTGGCTACGGGCCTGTCATACATGTAGAACAGCCCAACCTTCTTGCAAATCGGCGGGTCAAAACTCACTCCTACGTCAACCTCTAAGTAAAAAAAAAAACGTATCCCTCTCACTTAAGGCTGCATATTAAAAATTAATTGGTGTTGAAGTATTTCAATGGTCATTATTCTACTACTCACGGTGACATGATCTCTAATTTACGTGATAATCGGTTGCCTAGTTGTTGTGTAATACTATGGTAACCTTGTAGCAATGTACATAATTGCGGTAGAGAAGACACTTTTGGTAGGGGAGGATATACACTGTATAGAGTTACATATGGTGGACATGAACGAAGATGTACCATGTATATGTAGACAATCTAGATTTTAAGGTGAAAGAGTTTTATATATAAAAAAAAACAAGAAAAAAGACCAGGTGCTTTCCATTAAGCCCCCCCCCCCCCCCCCGATTCAGCCAGGAATATGTATAATGCAAAACTCATCGTTAAAAATAGGCACCTTGTCCTTTAACTGTATTAATGCGACATCTAGGCAACATCTCAATTTGCTATATTTATATACCTTTGATGCCGTTTTGGTGATCATTTCACGCTCAATATGTTGTCCGTTATGGCTGATGCATTTGCAATGAGGCAATGCTGATCAAGAAGCCGTATAAAAACACACGTCTCTATGTATAATATTGGCGTATGCACAAAAGATGCGTACTAATACTAGGTTTTACAGCCAGCAGTTTCAATTTTTCTGTGAAAAAGATATTTTATCAATGACCCAACTTGAGGAATGGCATAGAACCTACGGTGTAGATCGAATTTATAATCAGAGTGGACATTTCTGGCCAAAAGCAGTTTTCTTTCAACTCCCCTGAACCCTCCCCTACCTACCCTGCAAAGTATAGAAATAGGTATATGTGATGGTTCAATTATCAAATAAGATATAAAACGTGATACTAAAGTCATGGTTGAGAGACATACGGATTAACGATCTGTGGAGGACACATGGTTTATAAACTAGCATGAAGAGGGAATTCAGGTGGTGACTTTTTTTAGGGGTACATGTACTAGTCATCTTTAATAAGTTTTCATGTATGTTTGACTAGTGCTGTGACCTGAGCTTTAGAATTCTGACGGAGGCCCTTCTCTGTAGAATTCAGTGAATAATACAAAGGCTAGTGTTGGATGACAAACCTTGACTTTGTGTGTGTGTGTGTGTGTGGTCGGGAATTTACAGCGTCGTCTCTCACGTGATTTTGAAGGATGTCTTTCCTTACTAATTCTGGCGTGATTTTTTGATAGCTATTTTTACATTTAATTATGTATTTTAGGCATAGTGACTAATAGTGACATTGGGTCTAGCATACGATGAGTAAAAAACATATGCCCACCCCAGCATATGCCACCTTACGTAATCCATATTAAAAGAGCATATGACATAAGCCCAGTTATATTTAGTCAAACTAAAAGTCCCCATGCAAGCTCACGGCAGATCTTAGCTTGTACTCTAAAATTGCAAGGAAAGAATGTACTTTGGGACCTCTGTGGTCGTCTGCGGTGGTTTCTGGAGGTCGCAGGCCATGGCGCATTGTGTTGGTGACAATTCGGCTGACGTAAGCGGTGTCACGTTTTGACTCAGAGAACATTTCAAAGACTTTCTCGGTTTCGGTTTCATCACTGAAGGACTGAAGGTTGTGTATTTAAAAAACTTTTTACTTTTTATGTCTTTCTTATCGATACGTTTTATTGAGTCAAATTCATTGATCACTTTATTTATTCAATTCATCTGTGACCAACATTTTATCTTTTACGTCGCAACACTCGAAAATTGTCCCTCCTATTGAACTCCGCATCTAAAACCGCATTACATGCAGTACTGCCACACTATTTTATACGTTCAATTTACGAAGTAAAAACAAGCCTCGTGTAATCAACATTGCACTTAGACGATATATGGATGTAGACATATTTAATGCCCAATAAACTATTATTTTTTATCGTTATTCTTATCACTATATCAGTGTCAAAGAAATAGATAATTAGGACAACTCTGGATCAACACTGACGATCGAGATGGAGCACTATGGTCAGACTTTTACGTCAATTGTCAAACTAAAGACAGAATAATGCGTATCTTCTCTGACCAGCTAGAATCAAGAAGGAGGAGTGCCATGGGCAAATGTGAAAATTCGAGTAATAAATTCGAACCTTCAAAGAGAGAATTAAAACAAAGTGGCAGAAATACGCTTTAGTTACTCGAAATCGCCAATAAATATCTCGTAATTTCGGGTCAATAACTCAAAAGTTCGAATTAGATATCTCAAAATATGCATTTATAAAGTCGAAAACTCAAAATAAATACAAAGTGGCAGTAATACGTTTCTGTATAAGTGTACTTGTAAATAGTGATTAACAGAGGGGTCTTTGGCAATAACCAATGCTATAATTAATCTAGAAAGTTCAATTGACTTAACTACATGGAAAAATAAAAGCACCCACCAAAAATAAAACATTTCTAAGAGGGGGCGACGTTAACATGGTGCTAAATCATCTGTATCCCCCAATTTCCCCCCTCGTGTTGACAGCAGATGACCGTCAATGCACCGTGAGTAGCGCAATGGGCTGAGATCACGCCACCAAGTGCGTTGTGCGTCTGTCCTGTTGCCAAGTGATGATTAAGACAGGGTGTAGGCTAAACCCCGTGATCATGTTGAAACAATAACTAAAAGTGAATCAGGAAAAAATTTCCAAATCATAACAGGAAAGTGATGAGGCATAAAGCGCCGTATAAACGAACTGTGAATTGTGTTTTAGAATCAAAGTAAAAAGAGACGTGGTGACTGTAGACTCGGAATGCATATTAGGGGCTATACTTGTTTTATGATTACTTTTCTCTGTACCGGTATTACCGGGTACAGTATTCCGCAATCTGTTACTTCTCACATATCCTGCGAGCTGAGAGAACAAGTTGAAGTGCGCCAAGAAGGGACGCCGTTCAGGATTTACGTGAGCCAGTCCCATTATACCCCAGGGGAAAGTTTGGAAGGTAACTGTTTTCTGTTTATCTTTTTAGCTTTTCTTTCTTTCTATCTTTTTTTTAAATATTATTCTGTTTATCTTTTTATCTTTTCTTCCTATCTTTGTTCAAATAACATTTCCCCGCTTTTTTCTTTCACGTTAAATTGAAATTGCCCTAAAAAAGACAATCTAAATTTGCATTATGTCATATTTTAAGTATTTTTACAGCACAGCTGCATGTAAGGCAGTTTTAAAAAACGAATGAGCATTTCAATGTAAAGAATGTAGGACTTTGACTAAAATTTATGGCAAAATAGAAAAAATCTTGGAAGAAAATGCTCCAGTGAAACACATTTTGGCCACCTTTTGAAAATTTACCGATAATGATCTGTTTTAAAGTTCAATTTGCCTAAACACTAAATCGTTCGTGGATCAATTGTCGCCAAGAGAAAAGTGCACAATTTGATACTTATGTTGTAACAACTTATCGTGTTTTAAAATTGTGTCTTTAAATCATACTATGCTCACAACAGAAAATTAACATTAAGACACACACACACACACACACACACACACACAGACACACATAAAAAAACGTGACTACTTACTTAAATTATTTTTTGAAAGGGTGGTGAGACTATTTCGGCTCCACTGTACAAAAATGCGCTTTTGCTGTATTGCTCACAATACACCAAGTTGACAACGAAATAAATGACTTGCATGTTACTCGATTTTTTTAACGCACATAAACTTTTTTACATATTTTTAAATGAAGTTAATATCTTGACGTTCAAGAAAAATTCCCAATAAAATTAAGATAGTTCATTAAATAATTCAATTGTTAGATAAATGACCGTTTATCGCTCCAATATTTCATTTTCCTCTAGTTATGGTCAAGGCTACCGGGGGCGCCACATTCGCAGCAGTTATCATGGAGGCACATCTACGTACCTGCGACTTCTCCGAACATACAACCATCGGCGCTTTTAATGGTGACGATTCCTTACGACTGTTAAATTGTGAGGGGATAGCTGTAAGTAATGGAAGCTACCTTCTTTCTCCTATTTGTGGTCGTCTGTAGCGGAATCTCAATGATATAATTCAGTACACATGTAGTAGTATATTGTAAAGTTGTGCTGGAATTTATAATCAGATATGCATATTAAACGAACCCTTTCTGAAAAAATAGTGTAAGTGATTAGCTTGATGTAAAATAAAATGAAATTTCACTAGGGTTGTTATGAAGTAATGTATTACATAACAGCGTTTCGCATTTTATTGATAAAATGATATTTTGTGAATGTGGCGCTAACCACCAAACTGCAGTGATAGAGGAGTTTTTATAAGTCAAAAAAATAACTCTAAACATCAGACATTAATCATGAATCCATTAGTCTGTTCAATTATCTATGTTTTATTTCAGTCTCACGCGGTTTTCCTCACTAAAAATGGAGCCCAGGAAAAGACGTTTAAATGGACAGCTCCGAGAAATATTACCAGGTTAATAGAATTCAGGTAAATGTCAGTTTTGTTCGAGCTCTGCGTGTACTTGTGGGGCGTCTGATATAATAAAATCTACTTGACATCACCGCAAAAATAATGATAGTAAAAATGTATGGATTTTAATGAGTAAACTAGTGAAATAATGCAGCAGTTACCAAACAGTTAGTCAGTTTATAATAGGCAGATGTATAAGATAATATTGTCCTTTAAACATACAATGTCATCAGAAAAATCGGTTAATCAGTACAATAGTATTTTACCCTTATACGCTTCTTTTCTATAGTGCTATGATATTGGAAACGAACGGAACGGATCGGGATTGGAGAACAGTGAAATCAGCGGCCATAGGAAATATATCCATGTATGTAAAAGACGAACTGTGTCCTGAAACTCCTCTGTTGAACAGCAGTTCAATGAACCTCGGGTCCCCAATTTACAGTATCGGTTTCTATCCAATCGTGACATTCATCTTGATGCATTTGTTGACAAACTGTCAGGCTATGACGTCGTTGACGCACTTGCTATGACAGTGACGTTATAATAGACGTGATGGTAATGTCTGGATTTGTGAAACATACTGTTGTCTCCGTTTAGTCTGCGAGCAAGAATGTGAATTGTCTGTCATGTTTTCACCAGATGTCTCGGGGATTTATTTATTGTTATTTTTCCATTTCTCGAAAAAGGTGGAGATGTGAAGTAATTTTTTATCAAACGTAGTTGATTTCCAACTAAAAAGTCGGTTGGTATTTTGTTTCTTGTTCATAACTTGCACGGCTAGTAATGTGTGTATCCTTTGTCTTTTTTTTTTTTTTTTTTTTTTTTTTGTATCTAAGCTATTTTATTTATTTATTTATTTATTTATTTATTTATTTATTGTCTAAAGAGGCCAGTTATTGTAAGATATGTAAATAATGTATTTAATGTATGGTAAGAGTTTAGGATAATAAATATAACTAAATATATGTCCTTTCTTTTTTTTTTTTTTTTTTTTTTTGTTTTTTTTTTACTTCAATGACCAATAAATCCAAATTTCAATCCTACGTGTTTTGATTTCAAAAAGGAGTTAAAAACATGTTTCCAGTTCGCCACACGTGCTATTTTCTTTTAATTCCTATTTTTACTCACTCTCTCAAAATTCTGAAAACATTTTTTTCCAACACTAAAAACCTGCTTAGTATCACTATGTGCAAAATACACGTATGCGAGATGGCCGTTTAACTCCACTAGGAACATATGGATAGACCGAATCCAGTAAGTGCTATTATTTAAAAATTATTTCTGAATTTTCAACAAACGAAGGTATCAAAAAATTTTAATCTTTAACTACTGTAAATACATATGATGGGGAATTATAAATATAAAATGAGTCGGAGACATATTAACATGTAGAGAATGCCATACAGGTGTATAAAATTTTGGTATTTACTCATTTCGCTTGTCAAACTGTATTTATGGGGAAGGCAGATATACCGTTATGCAGTATCTTAAGAGGCTCATTTGGAGCAATGAAACAACTTCATTGTTTTATTTGTTAGAGGATAGGCTAGAAGAAAAAGATGCCATTAACCATATGGATTAGCACATTGGCTGTTGCACTTCACAATTGAATCAATATACGTTTATGCATGTGCATGCATACCTAAACTACATGTATGTGGTATGCATTGAGAAGTAAAACCGTTCCGAGCTAATAAGTCCTTTAATCATACATATACAACCCACAAAAATGAATTCGAACAAGCACACTGCCAACAGTAAAAACAGCGAAGAAAAATGTAATTTCCTCCTGGATTAGTCATTTTGTCATCGGCAAAATCTAAACACTCTAGCTCTAATGAGTAATGAAAACAATAGCTGAATCAGTGTTCGAAAATTACAATTACATCATAGGTATTCGGTTTCGCAAGGCCAACCACACTGAAACGTCAAAGAAGTTTCTCGTGACTATACAAATGAAATAGGGACTTTTTTTACTTCTAAAGGGGTTTCTACAGGGTCACCAAAAGGGACTTTTCTGCAGAAGACTGGACGATGGAGAGGGATTTGAGCAGTATTTGGCATTGCTTTTTTTTTCTTTTTATAGAATTGGACATTTTCAACAGGAAAAGGAAGGATACTGCTACAAATGAGGATTCCTGTCACTGAAAAATTCACGCAAACGCCATATCTTGTTAAAACACCAAAGGGCTCAATTTGAATACTCCTCAGAGCATGTAAATGTATGGAAATGTATTATTGTTGTAATCTGCCATTAATCATTATTATTATTATTATTATTATTATTGTAATTACTTTTGACATAACCCCTTATCAACAATGCGGATAAACAAAGTGTTGCTAATATCATTTTCCTCCCTAATGCACACAAATAAATAAATAAATAAATGTGACAAAATGAACGATAAAATTTCCACTGTGAACTTATAAAACAGAAATGTTTAAAAGAAAGTGCCAAGTAATGTGCGCCGTGATGTGGTAGATGTACTGAACTGAGTGTGTCGTGATGTGCTGTGAGGGACAAACTGTAGGCTACGTCTCCAGACGGTTTCAACATGTCGACAGCAAGTCTTGTTACAAAAGAACTTTTGGGTGTCTAGGTACAGTAAATTAATCTCCACTCTTAGGCTTACAATTAAGTCAAGCCATGAGCGCGTGGTTATTTCATCTACTGTCTACTAGTCAGAGTATTTTCGTTGTTTAGCAAAAAAGAAGAGGTCGGCCTAAAATTGCTAACCATGCACCCTTAATTAATGCACACATGAACAGTAAAGCAGAAAACCTACAGATATAATGCAATTGTAACATAAAACATTTTGTAGATTGGAATAGTCAGAAGAAAAGTTTTAAGATCTTGAGTTAAGCAGGATAGACATTAAATGTCAATAAAATCAATAAAATTAGAACAAGCACCAACAAATGAACCAAATACCTAACTAGGTAGGCCCTATTAGAAGCTTTGGGGGAAGTTAAGGGCCTAGCTTCTTTTAAACCCAAGAATAAATGCCTAATAAACAACCATCAGAGGCTTGGGGTGCATTTTATTTACCACACACAAGGCCACACACAGGCGCGCGTACGTGCGCGCACGCATACACACACACACACACACACACACACACACACAAACACTCACACATGCACACACACTTACTCTACCCAGTATAAGAAGAGTTTAGTTTGAACGTCAGCTCGATCTGCACTCAGTTTATTTGCTGGTCTCGTATCCTATATACAGACACGCCAGTGTATGCAGGATAGGCCACGATCCATTATAATAACGAACTTTCCATTTCTGTCTTATAAATGGCATCGAAAAAACGGAGTATTTTATTTTATAACAGCTACGGATTTTTGAGGAAAATAAAAAAAGGCGAGGATTTTTTGCTCTGTTTTATGGTTATTTTTCAACTTTTGGGACTTTGGAGTCACTTCCTATTCTGTGTTAATACAATGGGTGTTAACCCATTGTTCTTATTCCAAATCTTTACCAGAGATGAATAACTCCTTTGTATTTTTTAAACCAAATAAGTAAAATACTTGCTTCCTATTGTGTAATGTGGCGTCATTTTCATTAACCATAAAAGGTGGGGAGAAAAAAGCGCCAAAGCGCTATAAGGCCCACAGCGAAACCGGACATTGCGTCAGCAGAACGCGTCGGGGATTCCCCATCGTCACCGCGAAGTCAAGCTCCCTAGAGCTGGTCGCTGCCCCTTAACTGGGAAGAAATACGCCTCAGACCAAGGAACGCTTGTGTACTGCCAGTTCCATGTAAGTAGAATGGTTAACATAGATTCTAAGACTATATTTAAATTAAATTTATAACAAATTAAATGTGAAGCAAGCTATATTTGGTGGTTTTATTTGTCCGCGATTGTATCGTTTGGGGAATCCCCTTTCTTACACCTCCCTCCATATTTGTTTGGAAATTCCCATTACTGACGCAATTTCTCTCGTGGACTTATGTTTTTAAAGAATAAAATGGCAAGTGAACAGGGCGTGACTTGACATATCAGTTTAGTGTATTAGTCATTATATGACATACAGGGTTACCACTTAATATGGAATATTATTTTTTGGCGAGTAAATTATCTACAAAATATTTAATTTCTCTCTAACTACTTTAAATCCAAAGCTGAAGTGTCACTCCATGTGTAGCCAGGTTTGTTACCTAATTACCACACAACTCTCGAAACAATTGATGCATGCAGTTGCATGTTCTGTGGTCAGAAATGTGAGGGGTGGTCTTTTCTGTAATTTCTGCCCTTGTATAAAAACGCATGGGTTTGGTCAATCTTTGGAGTGTGTTTAGAGAAGCAACAAAGGGATCGCTCTGAAACTTGACAAGTACATTAGTGAAAATATGGTTAGACAGCTAAGGAACGCAGCTTACTATGGGATTCTTGCTCTCAGAGAAAATGGCCAGAAAAGGACAGCCATTGCCAGGTAATTCAACATTTAGCAGGAACCGTTTGTGAAGTCCTCCAAAGAATTGCTACAACAGGGGCACCTACTCCAATACCTCGACCAGGGTGTCCGCGTATCACACCAAGAAGACAGGATCGCCTTCTCCTTAGAGGACGCCGTGCTGGTCGTACAAAGACAACCAGTGTCCTCAGAAAAGAGAGGCAGAATGTCATTCAAACGTCCGTTTCAAGGTCCCGCGTGAACAAGAGATTATTGCAAGCCGGTTATTTTGAACAAAGGCCAGTGTGGAAACCACTGTTAACAGCAGGTCATAAACAGCGACGTCTGCAATGGGCTGGGGACCACGTGCGTTTGCAGCCAAAACACTGGAATCACGTCGTTTTCAGTGATGAGGCCAGATATGGATTTTTTAGGGTTGATCGTCGAATTCGTGTCCACCGACGTGTACGAGGGGTTTAAAACGATGATTGTGTACTGCCTAGGGTGCAAGCAGGGTATGGTAAGGTCTCTGTTTGGGGAGCATTTCATGTCGGTGCCCAGAACCAGTTGGTTTTTCTAGGAGGCAACCTCAACCAGGATTCCTACAGAAACATTCTACAGCAAACAATGCTTCGATTGGAAAGAGTCATCTTCAGGAACAACTTTGTGTACCAAGACGACTGCGCAACCCCACATCGAGGCCGCAGAATCACTGTTTTTCTTCAAAACCAATGGGTTCAGCAACTGCCCTGGCCTGCAAACTCTCCAGATATTAACCCAATTGAAAATCTGTTGGCGGAAGTAACTCACAGAATTAATAGCTATGGTCCTCGGCCGGTAAATAGTGATGAACTGCGACAGGCAAATATCACTGCGTGGAATGATATCCCCAACCAAACTTTAAAAAACGTGTCACAGGGTATGCCATGTAGGATGAGGGCGCTGCAAGCGGCTGCTGGAGGTCATACCCGCAATTACTGACTTTTCATGATTTACTGTAATGAGTTCTTTGACTGTGTAACATATCACTATCCGCAGGCTATCATTTTCTTTAATATCTTATCTTAAAGTTTATACTGACATCAAACTGTTGATATGGTTTTCTGGGGGTGTTCCTTTCTTTTGAATGGTATCTTATGTCAGATTTAATATTATTGACCAAAATATCTCAAAACAGAAGACTGGATATTATTATCACTCAGTGACATACTTTTTTAATGTCTCAAGCCAAAAAATTTTAATCAGCACTAAAAAATAACAATGATAAAAAATATTCCATATTAAGTAGCAACCCTGTATGTGCATATTCCAATTGCGTTTACTTAAGGCCCAGTCACAAATCAGTTGCGATGCGTCGGGGATGGGTAAAACCCGGGAAATTTGAACAAAATCTTGAGACGGATCTTGCACCCGTCGGAGGCGCTCTCCGGACGCCTGCGGGTTGTCGCAGATTTTTTAGACATCGCCACACCCGTCTCGGTCCCCAACTTTGAACTTAAAATTTTAAGATTGCTCGCAAGATTTTTCACCCATTTTGGGCATCCTAGACACAATCTCCGATGACCTACGATGCCCTCCGATTAATAGGAGGCGTCCTCCGAATAATCTGAGACTAGTCGCAATATATAGTCACATATACCCAGGGGGAAAAAATTACAAGAAAAGACGCTCGCAGATATCGTCTCCGATGCAATCGGAGGCGATCGGAGGCTAATCCCACGATTTTTCGACAAAACCGGGTCAAAATCCTTGAAAAAATCTCAGACAATGTGACTGCTCCACTTTTATTAGGATTATTGCTAGGATTGTTCAAGGATTATCTATTTTCTACGACGACCCCCGGCCAAAACTAATCCCCGACAGATCGCCGACATTGTGACTGGGCCTTTAGGAATAAATTGTATTATTTTATCTCACTTAACACACTTGCAGATTGGGCGAATATTGGTTTGTTTTCTTGTTAACCCATGTGAAAAATCTATGAAAGGATTGCATGTGTGTCAAAAATTAGTTTGCCTCTGTACAGGCCTGTTGTTAAAAAGGGAGCATGCAGCGAATAACGGAATTTGTTGAGTTGGTTTAGGCCCTATTTACCCGCCATTCAGGTTTTGTTAGTGGTTTATATTCGCCTTGTAAAGTCATGTACTTCAGATGTATCGGCGGGTGAAAAATAAGTGAAACTGTCTAAATCTGATCAAGCGTGGTTTATCATGTAGTATTTAATATTGTGTGTTTGTAAGTGTGTGTGCATGGGGGGTATGTGTGTCTATATAGTAAACTTCCAGGGTATTTTCAATCTCTTCGACTAATCATCGTCTTGCATTTTGAAGTCAAATTGAAGCATAATTTATTCCCTGACAAAATAGGGCTTTACTCAATTTATGTCTAGCCTAGGCTAGATGATATCTTGGCTGGGGTGGCGCTAGCAATTTTTTTTTTAGTTTAGCCAAAGTGCTACTTTTTCATCACTTTTTTTCTTCAAATGGCTTAAATTTGACTAAAACAAGTCAAATCAACTGCATTTTGTTTAGCCAATTTAATGTCATTTTAAGCATTTGGCTAAATTGGCGAGTGTTAGCGCTACCCCAGCTTGGTTCCTACATATAGGTCTAAATCATTTTCAGTGATTTGGGGTTTTAGGGAAAAGATATTTTAAAGAAAGAAAAAAAAGAAATAGGAACAGATATACCTTTTTATTTTATTAATATCTGAAACACATAGTGGGTTACATAATTCGATTATATTCAATTACAGAATGGAGGTCTCTGATCTTTCTACGGGAACTGACAATCTCTCCCTGAGTGAGATGGACATATCTTTATCTGATGACATCACAACACCAAAAGTTGACAATGATACGAACGGATCTTTAGAGGACGGCAATGCAACGGAACCTATGTAAGTAATTAAACTACTGATTTTTTTAAATTTAGCGACCATCGTCTATGTATATTCTTTCCCATGTGTGTGATTAAGATATTTTAAAAATTAGGTATTAAGTAAAATTCACATTTAGCACATTCTGTGATTGAATGGTATTACTATGCTTTTTAATGAGTACATAACCAGAGAAAATAATATAATTCATGAAAGCTGAATCACATTTACGCTGTATAATCATGTATTGAAAATCAGTCAAACATTCGGTCTGTTCACTAGATCTTTGTCACGACATTGTCCATGTATAAATGTGTCATTTTTCTTTTGTTTATTTATTTTTTCTTATCGAGGTTGTATTCGTGTATGTGAACAAATAGGGAAATATATAAATTGGTTAATTAGTAAATTTATTATCATTTTCAGTCATTTTCATTATTATCATATTTTTTTCAAATTATACACCCAAACCCAATATACAGGTGCAATTGATGTCACAGGCATGCTCTTTAAACTATTTAGTGCATAGATTGCAAGCTATGGTTGAATATTTTAGGGCCCCACATGAACAAAACTGTATCAAAGTTTCACTCTCCTGGAACCAGGAACAATAAAAAATAATTCATCATCTATCCCCTAAATGGAACATACACATGTACGTTACTGTCACAAATGCAAAACGCCCAGCTTTGAAACGTTTTACTCACTTTGAAAAGGCGATTATCACTGGTTTTGTTCTTTGATTCATCTCCTACAAGTATAATGTTGTAAAAAACTTTAATAATCTTCTGTATAGAGCAGTTTACTGTTTTTGAGTGACTTTAGTTTGCTTGTCACTGAATATTTAAAAAATGGGGAAAATACACCCTACCTACAGTAAAATAAACATTAAATAACTTTTTCCCCTCATGATCCAAATATTATATCAGAAATGTCAAATAATCATGGAATCACAATACTTTCTATTGCACCAGTTGCAAGTACATAAACAAAAAACTTTTTGATAATTTTTCTAGGGAACATATGTAACCAGTGATACTAACCAGTGATACGTAACGTAGTGTTAGCCATGTCGCAAAGCACCTTGAGTTATAGTTTTAATAAATATAAGCATTAGCCTACATCCTTACGTCATGTATAATTTACCATGACTAAAACACTACAAAATATATCGGAACGCAGTAAAAGAATTTTAGTTAAATGACCCGGAACATGTACGTTACCATACGTTTCCAGAAGATACGTTACCTTTAAATGTTGAGACATGGTAAAATTAAAGTTTGAATTAAAATTGAGACTTTTGGTCTATACATGTGTATGTTAAAAAAATTGAATACAACCTTGAATTCATTCAATTTTATTTTTGGACACTTCAGCATGTGAAATGCACTTCTATATTGGGTCTGGGTGTATAACGTTGCAATGACGGTGTTATAATTAAGGAGTTGCGTTTGTCTTTCTAGGTGTGTGCTTCTTCAAGAAAAATATCATGCATTTTTGGCTCATAGTAATACTGATGCTAAGTTTGTGGAAAGTGTCATGGACACATTGGAGAAAAGAGGAATCAGTTGCTGCTACTCAAAAAGAGATTTCCGCCTAGGTACTTCAACGGTGTCTTGTATTAATGAAGCTCTGGACAGGAGCAAGTTTGTTATCTGTTTTCTTTCAAAAGATTTTCTTACGAGTCCTTGGTGCAAGCATGAAAGAGAATTGGCGTTGCATAAAGCTGCCGAGACGAGTGAAGACATTGTCGTCCCTATCCTGATGGACGCGTCTGTTGAAGATTTGCCCTTGAATATACGGCGCTTAACTCATATCAGACGCGAGGACATCGACTTTGAGAAGTTGTCTTTTTCGCTTGGATGTGAGTATTGCATTAAGTACAGATTATTGGTATATTTTTAGAGCTTTTTTATTTTCTAGCCACTTAACAATAGTAAATAACAGAAGTTAAACCAGAATAAGTAAATGAAAATATAAATAACATTTGAGCACTGATGCATTGTTTTGATCACGTTATTGATGCCAAACATACATGTCATAACTGAAACAAGAATTCTGCAAAATAAAGTTGGGGGCCCAAGGAAACAATGTCTTTCTTCACACAGGAATTTGGAACTGTAGACGAGGACAAATAATGCTGTAAATGTGTTTTATTTTGTTATGTTTCGCTTGTGATCATATTTTAAGAGAGGGAGAAGGACCTTGGAGGTACAAATTTACCCAGCTAAGGGGGCAAGCTTTACCTACTGTAATTGTGAAAAAGACAAGAACAATACACACGACACTGGCTTTTCTTGAAAAGATTTTTGAAAATCCTGGCAAAATGCTCAGGTGAATTTAAGAAATCAAAACGGCGCATTTTTCTATGCAACATTGCTTATATTTTCAGTTCCAGAGGGAAACTCCCGTCCAACGTACATTGATCTTGAGACTGCTAACGCAGAACTGAAGACCAAGTTGGAGGATGCTCAGATCAAGTTGAAGGATGCTCAGATTGAGTTGGAGGATGCTCAGAAACTAACCAAAATAAAAGATGACGCCTTGATTCAGCAGCAAATGCACATCAAGCAGTGCGAAGATAAGGTGAGCCAGCATGAATCTGCAATGGCTGCCATGAAACTACGGTGTCACGATCTTCAGCAGAGACTAGATAGAAGAGATGCCGAGCTAAAAGAAATGAAGACCAAGTTGGATCATTGTCTGAATGAGGATGAAAATAAGCAACAACAAATGAGTGATTCAGCTCTTACGACCACCGTTGAAGATTTACCGGAAAAGCAGATTGGCGACATCCAAACCGATCCTACATTGTCTCTGAAAGATGTTCAAGAGTTTCATTGCCGACTTGGGTTAGCACAGAAACGGCAAAGAGTGACAAGACCTAATCTGTACTATGATTTGCGCAGGAGAGATGACAAAGTAAAAGAAATGAAGACCATGAAACTACAGTGTCTCGATCTTCAGCAGAGACTAGATAGAAGAAATGCCGAGCTAAAAGAAATGAAGACCAAGTTGGACCATTGTCTGAATGAGAAGGCTGAAATTAAGCAACAACAAATGAGTGATTCAGCTGTTAAAGATTTGCCAAAAATGCAGGTGGGCGACATCCAAACCGTTCCTACGTTGGCTCGTATTGGGGTGAAAGAGTTTCGTCGCCTACTTATGTTAGGAGAGGGCTACGCCAAAGAATCAAGGTGGCAGGACGTGATCAGTACTTTGAAAGGTGCAGAGCGTATTGTAAAGGAGGATACAAACAACAGTATCCCAGAAAGTATGGTCTTTGATATGTTTAATTTATTGTGGAGATCTTACAGGAATCTAAAAGACTACCAAGCATCCATCAACTACTGTAACGAAGCTTTATCACATCAGCACAAGTTGTTTGGTCCTGGCTGTATAAATAAAGATGTAGCAAGCTGCTATCACAGCTGCGGCCTCACATACGAACAGTCGGGAAAGCTCGATGATGCAGTAGAATTGTACAGTACATCTGTCATATATCACAGAATACTCCGTGAAAAAAACAACTGTGATGAATACCCCAGAGAGAAATTGCCGCTTTCTTTGCGACTTTTAGGGCGTACATATTTAAAGAAACGTGACACGGAAGCTGCCAGCAAATATCTAAACTATGCATTAGATGAAGAGATCAAGTTACATGGACAGGACGAAGCACACAGGCATATCAAAGCAATTAGATCTCTTTTGGACGAAACAAAACGCATCTCATAAGAACTTAGCAAAATAAAAACAATTAACTATATGTACGTGCTTCAGATTTTGCTGGATTTGGTCTGATGAAAATGATAGGTCAAGAAAATAATGTCATCCCTATGTAAACGGTGCATGAAACCTGCAGTCAAAATGATAAGTACACGCAGATTTATTTTTGATTTAGAAATGATTGCAGTTTTAAAAAATGATCAGTTAATCAACTTCACAAGTTTTTCATATTCTGCGTTGAACCCAAAATACCGTAACTTAATTTCCATTTTAATTTTTAATTTGAGGGAGGCATTGGTGATTTACTCGACCAGTCAGGAACACGCCTGTCATGGCCATGAGTTCAGGGCTTTTAGTTCAAAGTGAACATATTTCTTAGAAAAAAGTTGATTGCCGATTTGTGTATTTTAGCTATAGAGAACGTGATGGCACTTAATGTTCGGGACTAACCCCAGTTTGGTGAACAATTTATGATGCCTTTTGTCTATTAATTTATGTTATTTCATTTTTTCGCAAATTGTTACAATATTAAGTTTTTAAAACTGACTCAGTTTGTTGACCCAATTATTTGGAAGTAATTTACAAATATATCAATCTATAACACATGTACACAAAAAAAAAAAAAAAAAAACAACGCGAAAAGAGTATACATATTGGGGGCGCGAACTAGTATATTACACAGATTGCTAGACATACGAACGTCACTGTGACTGTCTCCATATGGTATCTGCTGTCCTCTTTTGGATTTATATTCTTCATGTATTTATTTATTTATTTCATCTAGCATTGTTTTTGTTTCTATCCATTAAGAGTGTTTGATATGATACAGAATGCTACCTTTGTTAAGATATGTTATCAGAACTAGGACTGGAAAGAAAGAAAATAATTAATTGAAAAAAGTATATATTACCCTCTTTAGCCAATTTACGTTCTAAAATTACCTGGATCAGTATAGAATAGTATTGAAGCTCTCCAGCAATGTATATTGTAATTTTTATTGATTTACATTGAAGCTTCACTTATGTTATTACCAAAAGTATCGGAATTTGATTTATAAAGTCATGGGGTGGTAAACGACCCTATATGCCGGTATGATGAGGGTTTACTTTAATTTTATGTGAGTTTATTATTCCAGTCCGCTTTGGAAAGAGCATTGTTCGTTTTTATTAAATCCATCTTAAAAGGAATTTTTTTTTAGTTTTTGAACACTTACACAGGGGCGGATCGAGAATTATTTGAAGGGGTAGGGGGGGGGATCCAGAAGAGAAAGCCTAGGTTGCGAAGCCGACCATCGCCCAGTTGGTGTGGGGTTCGGGTCCTGCTCAAGGGTCCCGAAAATTTTGTGGTGTTCTGGAGGGCAAACGATGATCTTTGATACGGTTTAGAACTGTGATTCATCTATAGTGAAAATCCTGATTTCAAGAGGGGAATATGGCGTGATATATTTTTCAGAAATCGAAGGGGGGGGGGG